AAGGCCCTAAAGAATGGCCAATAGTGAAGAAATATTGTGTCTTTAAGATCTTCAATTCAGTAGCTTCCTCTGCCAATATTCCGTCAGTAGCCAGCTACATTATGAAACTTCATAAGAATGTAATTTTTACCAGAATTTAATCAACACATTAACCATATAAACCAATGGATGACTGAGAGGAATTTGTTAAAGGACACCCATGACACAGCTAAAGAAAGGGGAACAATCTTTTCTTAAAGTCTAGTCTTTCAAAATAGAGCAAAATTAAGCATATATCATCAAAGTAAAAGTTATTCCATGTTCCATGTTTTTTTGTTTCCGGGAAATAAGACCATATGAAATTGTTTTTATTTGTTATCTATATATAAAAGCAAGTCAAAAAATAGGCATATATATTACTTGGTAATAATAAAATAATCTTCATCATGTTCATGTTCTCCTCTATTGATGAGCCCCCAGCTTCATGTTAATTACATGATGAACATTTTTATTGAATCTCCAATCAGATTGTGCCTTAAATAATTTTGGATCTATAAACAGGGCTGACATGATCAAATGCTCCATTTATAGTACTGTAGGTTAAAAAGAATAATTTCAAGTTTTGAACCAACAAACCAAATCAAAAGGAAAAATTAAATGTTCATCTTTTCCCAACTAAACTTGTATGTCTTATCGTCATTTCAGTAGGGAGTTTACAGGGCCAATCCTCAGAGGGCAGAAGGTCCTGGTAGCACTTGTTTTCAAACCTTCTAAAGATCTTGAGTGATACCGATGATTAGACCGGTATAACCTTTCAAGGTAATCCCAATTCTAAGTATATAAATCAGCTTGTGATTCCATTCATGGAGGCAAGGGTTCCCAAAACTGTATTTTGTGATTAAGTGATCAACATTAGTCTGCACTGGAAAAATTCTAGATGGCAGCTGTACTCAGAAGCTAAAATTTCCAACCTCAGTGTAGAAATTTAAACTGGAACTCCCCCAAAAGTTGGAATTATTCAGTCAAATCAATTCAGTTTATTTATAAAACCTCAATTATTAACACATTTCACCCTATGACACTTTAACGAGACAATAAAATCAGATCATACATACACTGGTTAAACATTTTCTATCTAGGGAAACAAAACTGTTTGCCTTCAGACATAGACTTTTCAGGATTCACTACTCCTGGATGAGCTTTTGGTGACAGCAGACTTTTATTTGCATTCTGTCGTTGACTCTACAGCAATCGTTAAATGGATGATTCATGCTGTGACAGTGGAGAGTAAAAAAAAATATATTTTAAACAGTAAGAAACCTCCAGCAGAACCAGGATCAGAGTGAGCAGCCATGTTCTGCTGGAGGTTTCAATAAACAAACTCCATAGGTGGTTGTCTAGGAAAGAAACAGGTAAGAAGATGAGTTCTGAACTAAGTCCTGTGTTAAAAGGGTTGAAAGAGAGGGCTGTGAACTTAAGAGCTGAGCCAATCTTTTTGCTGGTGTAAACACCAAATAAAGGGGACAATAAAGGGATTTTCTATTCTATTCTATTCTATTCTATTCTATTCTATTCTATTCTATTCTATTCTATTCTATTCTATTCTACTCTATTCTATTCTAATCATAGCTATGGCTAGGAGACAAACAGGACTAAGCACTGAAAAACAGGCCCAACTGTAACAACTATAAGAGAAATCATTGATGACAGCAGCCCAGGTATATTTCATGGCCTGGAAAGTCAGGGCAACATGACCAGTGTTGTGCATGAATGCATTCAATGAATAAATTCATAGTTTTGGTGAACTGAGTGGACCAGATTTGAAGCAATGAAAATAAACAAGGGTGCAGAATAATTTACGATACAGATCAGCCTGATTGTACCTGTATGTTTCTGAAGTTCTCTTTAATGTGGCTAAATAAAGGCTTCACTGCACATACAGTATACCTTGACTGCATCGAATATTTTCAGTTTCTATCTATATATTATGATCCCACATTTAGAAAGTGAAAATTTTGGTTTTATTGTGTAGGATTATGGTTTGGTTAAAATGTATGCCATGTTGAGTGTGCAGGTGTTTCTGCATGTTGGATGTATTTCCTCCCACGGATGTAATTGCCACTTTGCAATGATTGCAAAGCGCCTTGTTGCCATCTTTCTAGTCCTTAAAAGGAACCCAAACTTTCGATCACCTCACCCGATGGGACGCCATTTTTTTTTGTTTTGCTTTTCTAGACTTACGCCCGGTCACGTCGTACTTGCTTACTGAATGCCGTGTGTGTAACTTGCGTAAAAAATGTAACGTAAGTTGTGCTACCCAGAGCGGCTCTGGTGCTGCCTGGAATAAGTTAAGAGAATCATTAAGCGAGCTGCCAAACGATGCCATGGAATTGGAACACAAGGAACCGGTTCTGAACAGGAACCAGTTTTAGAATCCCATCCCTAATTGTTACTAACTTTCACAAAAGAAACTGAAATGCTATTTCTCGAGAGACTCATTAACTCTGGCCTCCTAGTTAGTTACAAAGTAAGTGGTCTGATTCTTTAGTTTACAATTATATAAAGTCCTCAAATGGCCGAAAAAGCAAACTAGGATCATAAATAAAAACGAGAAAAATCTATAGTTTATGAGGAAGCTACAAAGCAGATGTGTAGTGTCTCATAAAGATGAGCATACCTCTCAGCTTTGTGTAACTATTTTCCAATACATTGTTATGCAAAAAGACTGAAGAAATAATAGTTTGATACGATGTAAAGTTGTCAGTTTATAACCTGTAGAGCAGAAATGTACTGACTACTGACAAAAAGGTCAGCAGACAGCCATTTATGTCTAAACATAAGGGGTTTTAACCTTGCAACGTAGGTTGACATGAAAAAGCTTTCTTAAAAATGCTATTGGTGCAGAGATAATGGCACCTTCCACTGCAGCCTTCCACTAATAATACAATTTGCTGACTGCTTTTATGTCTACATTTGGTGTGTTGTTTCATATAATAGAGGTTTTATTCACTACAAGGCAGTCATTGGGATGAAGGCGATATTTGTTAAAAAAGAAATGTCTATGTTTGATACTGTGCAGTTCTTAATAAAGCTGCTATGTGCCGAGCAAAAGTATTAAACTCCATGGGCTCTTTTTATTTCTTTAAGTGCTTTAGCAGTCTTTATGCGCGACAATGTTGAATGCCTATATAAAAATCACAATCAATGAAAGTAGTTTTAGATAATTATGTCCAAAAATTATTAACAGAAAGAATATATGAATACCACCTTAGGTAAATGTAAAAACATTAATGATCAGTTAACAAATACAGTGACTGTCAAAACCGGAGAAAACAAATACATCTTTCATGTAAATTGCTCCAACTGTTTCTTCTTTTATTTCAGCTGGTATTCAGAACACAGCATACATCAGTAAGGGAGTTATTGTAATAAACCCGTCAAAACAGTCTCAATGCAAATTCTTGAAGCAACATCCTCTCACAGAAAAGGAACAACAAATGTGGCTGGTTTCCACACAATACCAGCTTTAAAACAGAGAAGTTGCTCTTCAGATCTTCTGATCACCAACTGATAAACCTCTTGATATAAAGCTTCATTAGGTAAGAAGTTATTAATTGTACATTCATTGTGACCTTTAGTGTAAAAACTATGTTAAAATTGTAGTTCAACTACCTCTGGAAAAGTGCTAAATGATTAAAAAGATTAGAATATATTACTTGAAGTAACGGCTAAAGAGACTAAGGCATTATCCAAATGTGACTTTATTTAAAAAGGAACTCTTTTTCTGAAAGTTTTTACAGTCTAAGAAATGAAGGATCGTCTGAGTCTGATGGCAGCCCTGTCTGAGAGCATGCTGACAGTAAACTTGTTACTGAGCGTCTTCTCTCTTCCAGGTGAGCTGTTTGTTCACATCCTTTTATTTACATACCAACAAAACTTGAATCATGAGGCTGCACGGTGTTGCAGTGGGAAGCACTGTTCCCTTTCAGCAAGAATCTTTTGGGTTTGATTCCTGGCCCAGGGTGCTTCTGCATAGAGTTTGCATGTTCACCCCATGCATGCATGTGTTCTCTTCGTGTATTCCAGCTTCCTCCTACAGTCCAAAATAATTACTGTTAGGTTAATTGGCTTCTCTAAATTGTCCTCAGGTGCGAGTGTGTGTTCATGTTTGTTTGTATCTATTTTGCCATGGAACAAACTTTACCTCACCCCCCATAGACTGCCAGAGATAGGCACCGTCCCCACCACCACGACCCTGACAAGGATGAGGTCGAAGAAGACTGATGGATGGTTAACGTGCATAGTTTCTAGTCTAAAATATTATAATAGCCTGCAGCTGAACTGGAGTTTGTGGATCGTGAAATTTCTGAGGATCAAGTTAATAATTTGTCTGTTTTTACAGGTACTTTGGCTGAAGCTGTAGCTGACCTGTTCATTGAACATGAAGTTTGTCTGCCGGCACAGAAAGAAATATAAAACAGTTGTCTCTTTTACAGGTACTTTGGCTGGTTGTAGTATAACACCGGACCTCAGAATCACTACACCAAAGAAGATTGAAGCTCTAAGTGGATCTTGTTTGGAAATACCGTGTATCTATGATACAAAGAATACAAAATATGACAGCAATAGAACTATCTATGGAGTTTGGATCAAAGGTGGTCACAAAATTTTACCTATAGATGGAGATGTCTTCAACAGCAGTGGGTTAAATAACTCATATTCACTGAATATCATTGGAAATTTGAAAGAGAAAAACTGCACCACTCTGTTTCCCGATTTAAACACCAGTTATACAGACAAATACTTATTCAGGATTGAGAACTGGCCATTCAAAGCAACAGCTTGTGATGATCCTCTCGATATAGAAGTAAAAGGTAAGAGGATTTTTCTTTTTTACAAGTTATGATATCAAATGAAATGTTGCACTGCAGGATATTTCAAACTTACATCTGAAACTTACATCTTCTGTTTCCTGTCTTTTATTACTGGATTATCTGATTAATCCAGGTGTGTCTGGCCATGGTTACTGAGGTCAGGCACATCTGGATTAATCAGTTCATCCAGTAGAGAAAGACAGGAAACAAAAGAGCTGCCTTTAGTTCAGGAAAATGTGGAGTTATGCATAGAGCCCATTAATTGCTAAAGTTAAGTGAGGATCTTTGAATGATCCAACAGTGACCTACATGACTGATGATGATGATAAAAATAATCCACCTGTGTGTACTCAAGTCTCCATTTCTATCTGACTGCTCTGTGATAGCCTCAGAGTTCAGTTTAAGGCACAGATCATGAGGGAACACACCAGGCAGGTTTGGATAAACAAATTTAAACATCACAAGGAGCACTGTGCAAGTGCTAAAGTGTTGAAATGGAGGGAACAAATCTGGCCTTGATGTAAGAGTAGCAAGAAAAAAGCTTTTCTTAAAGATACCCATTAAAATGGGGTGTCTCCCAGGTGGCTTGTAGCAAACACAAGATTGTGACAAACAGACAGTTAAAAGTAAAATAAACTAAAATAAACTAAAGATTTTTCTATCAGCTTTATTTTAAATTTAATGGAAATTCTTTATTATCTTTAGTACAAACCATTTTACGAATACAAACGGTCATATAGTGTATATACTGTATTTCTTTTAGGTCACACTCAGAAACAAGTGTAAACAGTTGAGCCTTTATTGTAAATGCTTTAGGTTTGCTTTACTTACTAAACTGTCTGTCTGATGTGAACTCCCAGATTCTCCTTGGAGTCCCAGCATTAATATCCCTGTTGGTGATCTGAAGGAGCATCAGTCTGTCACTATAAGCTGCTCAGCTGTGACTCCCTGTCCACACTCACCTCCTGAACTCACCTGGAATCTCAAACAAGACTCTGAGAGACAAACAGAGAAAAACACAGATGGAACCTTAACAACTAAAATCCAGGAGACCATCACTCTGTCAGACACACATGATGGATACAAAATCATCTGTTTTGCCAGATATCCTGCGAAAGGAGGAAGCAAGACAGAAGAGACAAAGTTTACTCTTAGTGTTGCATGTTAGTAATCCTGTCAGCACGTCATGGTTCAGCTGTTTCTGATCAATAAAGTTAATGTGTGTCCCATTTTCCTCAGATGCTCCTAAAGACACCTCAGCATCCATCAGTCCATCAGGTTTGGTGTCAGCAGGTAGCTGGGTGGAGCTGAGCTGCTCCAGCAGAGCCAAGCCTCCTGCCAGCTTCACCTGGTTCTGGAACAGCAAACATGGAGCCTTTAATGTAGCTGTGGGGCAGGTTTACAGCTTCAATGTTACTGAGGGAGGAGAGTATTACTGTGAGGCTACAAATGATCTGGGGACTCAGAGATCTTCCGTCATCTTTCTTAGTGTTAAAGGTCAGTCTTCAACAAACTCTTTGGTTCATATTGTTCTTTCACTTTGATAAAATATGTTTGTGGTTCAGGTTTAACCTTTATTTTTCTCAAGAAAGAATTTCTTTATTATTATTATTTTTTTAATTATTAAAAGGAGCCATTAGTAATAATGATACCTTGGCACTTTTGGAACAACACATAAGATGAATGCCTACAAGTCATATCCCTCAAAGAGTGTCATGTGGGTTGTTAAATGAAAAGAGAGAAGGATTTAACGCAGCTAAATTCAAGATGATTAATGAAGACGATTCAGCCGCAGTAAACGACCTCCAAATATTTTTGATGGATGCAGAGCCTTCTTATGTAATGTTGAGATTATTTCGGGTCTACTTGTCTTCCTGGCTTCCATGTTTGGATGCACCTGCTATTTGGCCAACATAAAATGCAAAAAATGGCCCTCTGTTTTAGCAACCCAGGAACCTTTCATGTTGTTGGCTCAGGAACCAGGAAGTAAACATTGGCCACACACTGCAGTGCTGTACTTATAATTTTGAAGTAATAAATGTTAATGGAGAACACTGATTATTCACAGGAAATGCTTCTTCCATCCAGGGTTATAGATGAGAATATTTTTGGATGATTTTTACAAAACATTTCTCACTGATTGCTCTTTTTAAAAAAAGCAATGAAAATAGAAGAAACAGATTTTATAATTATCTAAAGTCATTGTTACAGATGATCCAGTCTTTGGGCTCCATATTATACTGAAGATCTTGGGAGCTATGCTGCTCTGTAGTAAAGTATAGTAATAAAGTTAATGAGTGTCCCATCTTCCTCAAATGCTCCTAAAAACACCTAAGCATCTATCAGTCCATCAGGTTTGGTGTCATTAAGTAACTGGGTGGAGCTGTGCTGGCATATGTCAAGAAATGTTGAGCATGTTTAATATATAATTATCTAAAGTAATAGCAGAAAATTTAAGCAGGCTATACTGTTACAGATGTTCCAGTGATTGGACTCCATATTATACTGAAGATCCTGGGAACTGTGATGCTCTGTAGCACGCTTGTCATCTTTGAGTGGTGAGATAATCCTCTGTTCATTGATACTTTGCATCTTCAGTTACATTTTGGTGTTTCAATTAACCTTTTTTCTTTCAGCTTCTTCAGATTCTCCAACAAGTCAAAGAAGGTTTGTCTATCATTATTATATTTCACATACAAAAATTTGCACCTGCTTTTATGTTTTATTGTTGCACCCCTAGTTGAATTTATCTTACACTGGTAGACTGCAGAGATAACAACAAGGCCTCAGACACCACATCCTCTGACACCCAACCCCCTTTGAACAGGCTGAACTGAAACTGATATTTTGCCTTGGTGGAGTGCTGCTCCAGGCTGGGTGACAAATATAATTCGATTTGGTGATTTGTTCACTTTTGATGCTACACTAGTATAGATGCTGTAACCTATGTATACACACATTTAAACACTGATGGTGGTAAGTCCTATTATAGCCACAGCTCTGTATAGGCACCCACTGGCCTTTTGACCACTATTAAGCAATGTGGGTGAGGTGTCTTGCCCAAGAAAACAATGAGGTTTTCAATGGGGTTTGAGCTTGATACAGCAAAAAACAGCAAGCTGTCAATAGTGCTCCTATACATTTCATAAATTTCAACCTTCATATATACGTACATTTCTCAATATGTGTACTTGTGGTGAAGTGTCATCAGCCTCAGACCTAGTACTGTTCCAAATAACAAGAACACGCCACAAAGTTCCCAGGTGTTTTTTAGCGTTTTGTTGTCATTACACTGTCACAAGTACAGAGCAACGAAATTAACTCTCTGCATTTGAACCATCCCTTTGGGTAGCTGTGTGGGGGTAAGGGTCTTTGCTCAGGGGGTCTGTGGGAGTGGGGCTCAAACTCCGAACCTTCCAAGCCCAACACCCTAATCACTCCTAAAAGCAGGCATTAGTGTGAAGGTTCTTCTGGCCTAAGGCCTAAGGGCCCAGTGTGGGTCCTTAGACAAGAACCACACTGGCAGCTCATTCCCCCCAGCATTCTCCCCCCTGCAGGATGGATAACTTACCAATTGAGCTAGCCAGCAGTGGATGTTGTCCTCAACCCCCTCCTCTTTACAGCCGTTGATGTTGTTCTCGCCCCTCCCTCTTTACAGAGTATGCATAAGAGCAGACTTGTCCGTTCTAAAGATTGACAGCTGTCCCAGCATGCACTACGGCAGCAGCAGCTTTCAGTTGAAGTTCTATTTTATATTACCGTCGTTCTATAAAAGTACGTTTTAAGATCTTTTGAGAACATTATGCTTTTAAGCGTCACTATATGGCCCATTTACTAATTTAGTACGTAATCACAAAAAAGGTTCCAATGTTGAGAGGATTGCTGCAACCACCAGTCCTCCGAGTCTAACCGCAGCCAGGACTAACGTTAGCCCATCTGCGGTATCCCTCTCTCGGCATGGCCATGTGTGAAGTACAGCTGGCTCTGGTGGAGATTTTTTTGTTTTATTTAGCAAAATGTTATTTGATTTGTGTTTATCTGACTGTAAATTATTATTCTCCCACTAAATGGAAAAAAAAAGTATTATTATCTAGAGGCTATTAATAACTGGAGGTGAAATGCAGCTCCAGACAAGCGAGCATGTGGTGACGTCAATAGTGTGCTTCTGTTCCAATTGACCTATATTTATGTTGCGTGCTCGTATTTTGCCAAAGTCCATACTTTCTTGTGTTCTTTTCAAGAACATACTTGGAGAGGACACAAGTCTGTACTCAGTTTCTTGTGAATTGAGAAACAGCCACAGTGTTGGGGAAGCAACTTAGAAAATGTAGTGAGCTAAGCTACAATGTATTCATTAAATTAATCTACACTACAATGTAGCTACCCACCAGAGATATGTTGCAACCTAAGTTACAACAAAATGACAAAACTATATAGCTTACTGTAACTATGGTTCCCAAGAAGTGCCAACATACTTAATTACACCAAAGCTTCTTTGCAGAGTCATTGCATGAAACTGTGAAAAACAGATCAGATCAGTTCAATTGTTTTCAAAGTTTTTGAATTGGGTTGAGTTTGAAGTTTTATAGGCTTTGATGGGCTACTGTAGAAAACTTCAAACTCAATGCTAATCCTGACATTTTGAATTGAAAAAAAAAAACCCTGGATGGGAAGCAAAACATCTTCAAACTTGGAAACCAAGTCCAGTGGATTGATTTTCAATACTTATGCTCAAATTCAAATCTAACTTAACTATTCAGATATAATGAACATTTAATTCTACGATATTTGGATAATCATGCATCCAACAACCACAACAATATAAATATGTCTCAGACTAGTCCAGCAACTGTCAAATTAAGCCTTGTAAATTAATCCTTGATCTACCTCGTTGCTTTTTGTTTTGATTAATTTAAAGTGACTAGAGTGACCTGTTTATTTTTGGATTGTGCAGTCTTGCTATGGTCTGTTTTACTTAGAATATTTATAAGCCCCATTTTGTACAACTGTCATATACACAAATATCCATTTAAATTGATCATTGTTTTGTTTTCTATGGAAAAAAAACCCTGCACAATCTAATACTGCTCTTCTACTAGCTTTTCCTCCATGAATTCTCTTCATATACGCATGCATTTACAGTATAACACACACATCCACATGTATGCGCACAAGCACAAATGCACACACACTCACTCACACGTTATTATTTTGCTTTCGAAGGACATCCTTTTGGATTGAACTATGTTAGCTGTTGATGTTTGCTGGCTGAGTTCAGATGACCATAGCTTAGCTGATTGTGTTAACTAAAGTGTCATTTACACTACCCCTTTGAAATCGTGCCAAGATCGGTCCGAGCATGGAAACCGAGATAACTGTTCAGTGTAAATGACAGGCACAACTGAACCGGACCTCACCAGACACTATGGAACCATGCTTAACTGGTACTAGTTCCTCAGTAGGGCTCGGCGCGGTTCCGTTCTGGCTCAATTCTCAGATAACAAAGAGCACAAAAACAGACCTCCTCATCACCTATTTATAGTCAGCCTCCGTAATCATGAAATTTCAAATATTTATAAAAATACAAGCTTCCCTACCTTGCCACATGATTTCCAGTGGTTATTCTATAGCGCTATATAAATAAAATGAATTGAATTCTCCTTAGCAGTGTGATAAAGGTGTGGTAAATGGCTGTAAGGATCCGAGCTTGGCATTGTTAACTGATTTAAGCTCCGCACAGAAAGGTTTTCAGAGGGTGGTGTAAATGGGGTATGAGTGTTAATTTGACACTATATTTTCAACATACATATTTAATTCTGGAAATCTTATACATTTGATTTTGCAGTGCCTCATTAAGTGAAATACATTTATCATGGTCAGGATTTATAGCATTTATTGACTTCTAACATTGCATAAGACCACATACAGTCATATTTTCTCACACATATACACAGATTTGTAGTATTATTAAGTAATTGTATGTTTATTTAGCAAGTGCTTCAACATATATTATGTTGGGGAGAAATTAGAATGAAAATCACAACAAACTCTGCTGTGATGAACAAATGTTGTTTGGTATCCAGTTAGACTAAAATTAAAGTGACTATAAGTCTTAGAATTTTTAAACTATGAGCTTTGGATTTCTTTCTTAATCACTTTAATCCAAAATAAATGTCCTAAAAATTAACAGAACAAATTTGTTTTTATTTTATCTTCAAAGAAACAGAAGACCCAACCTATCTCGACAGTGATGGAGACCAAACCATGAGCTTCAAAGTGACCAGGAATACCAAGGCTTCTGCTAGTGTCTTCTTTCTATTCATGCTTTTGTTTTTTTGATTGTTTACTTTTAGAAAGTTAAAAGGCTTATTATTATTCGCCAAGGTTAATAGCTTACAGTAAGGGCAGTTACATTCTAAACAGATCACTGGTTTTTTATATCACTATATATCATGCTATAAAAATTACCTAGTAGTTCTTGATGCTTATTTCTCTATCTGTTTGCATATTTTATTCATGGATAAAATGCTACCACTTGGGATCATTCATTTGCATCAATGAATTATGAATGTGGCCTGTAAAACGAACAAAAAAAAAGACTTTTAGAAGTGAGACAGAATTTCTCATGAATGTAACAAAACATTTCCTCTCAACAGAGTTTTTTTTAATTGTCTTTGTCTTAATGCTACAATTAGGTTTGTGTGGTATGTTTAAGAGATGTTAAAATTTTGCTCCAGATATTTCCAGTTCAGACATGTGCATAAAACATGATCACAAAAAAATATATTTGATTTTCTTGTTTTACTTGTTTATCTCTTTTGTTGTTTGCAACACATGCAAGCCTTAAATTTCTATGAATGCAAGACAACTAGGATGAGTAACTTGTTTACTTTGGGAGGTAGTTATACACAATGGAAATTAATTCAAAAATGGTTTTGGAGACTCTTTTATGGCTCAATGTAGAGAAACATGTCTGAGCTCCATCACCCAGGCTCAAACACTGTCTGAAAGGGAACTCTGAACTCTAGAACTTCTACAAGCCTCTGGCAAAGGTCAGAGCTGTTGGAGATTTTGTTACAGAAACATTGCCTGACAATTATTTGTTAAACCTCAATATCAGAGTATTCCTGTTTAAAATGTTTGATATGAAAATTACTCTCCATGTTAAAAATGGATTGGATCCTGTCTTTTCAGTTGGACCATGTTAACCTTGATTAAAAATGTTCTAATGTTTCTGATGCAAAATGTTAGAAGCTGCAGGAGGAAAGGAGGGCTTGCTAAAACACGAATTATATTTTCGATGAAAAGACAGGAATAAATTTAAAAATAGAATAAGATCTGGATTAGCTCTCCTCTCCTCTGCTGCAGGCAGTTTCATAAAACACTGCGTTCGTCTCGCTTTGAATCACAGGAAACAAAACAAAACCCTATGACCAGCTCCTTCTGAGTTGCAGGAAAAGGTAGTCTGACTCGGTCCAGTGAGCACAGACCTTACTGGAGGGATTTGGTGGCTACTTTAGCGTAGCTTTAAGCTGGGAAGCTATGAGAGACCAGCTGTGTGCTGCCGGCAAAAGTAAGCTGAACAGGAAGTTGTCCATAGAATTAAGCCTATCCAACTTCAGCTAATTAATAGGACTATTTGGCATGAATTTTAGCTCTAAATTATCAGAATTTACAATCATTTATTGCTGTACGTACCTATAAGCCAAGTGTGCCTGTGGTGGCTGCACGAATCAGTTAAAGGCAGATAAAGAGGATTCAGTCTTTCATCAAGCTGGTTCCAGATTAGCCAAATTTTTCCTGCACATATTTATGACAACTTTAGAGAACATCATGTTAATTTTGCCACTTCTGTGAGATATGGTGCATTGTAATTGTATATGTTTTATGAGAAATGTGAGTATGCTGTCCTTTGCTCTTCACAAGAAACCAGTTTATAATATGAGAAATTTGGAATATTAAAATTGAAATCCTAAGGGTTTAGTGCATGTTTATCTGGGTTTAACACACTCAATACAGTTTTCTCTGAAAAGAGTTGAACCAAAATGGAATTCTTTTCCAGTGGGATCTGGGAAGATTCAAGGGGTTTACCAGATCAACCTTTTCTTTCCACTAAGTGGAATTAGGAAGTGGTGGAGGATGGTTTCCATACCAAGTTGTGTTGCTGATGAGTGCTTTGGGTCAGGTTTCTCAGGAGGATCACTATCATCAGGTGGTGGTTGAGAGGGGTGGGGGATCTGACAAACCGCTTTTTGCCAACAACCTGTGGAGGATAGCTTCCATCTCCATCACTGACTGTTCAGTCTGTTTACTCTGATCTTTACCATCACACCACTGGACTTGGTTTTCCAAGTTTGAAGACATTTCGAGGAAGTTATTTTAATTATAATAACATTTTTCTTTTTGACAATTTTTTTCTGGTTTTCCTCTGGTCAGGCTGTCTGTTGTCTCGGCTCATCTCTGATTTCCTTGTTTGGAAACCACTCTATTCCCTACTCTGTCAACTCCTCCTATCCTGGAAATAGGGTTGGGAATTGATACGATTTTCATGATTCCGATTCCCTTATCGATTCTGTGAAACGATTCAATTCCTTATTGATTCTTCTATTGATTCTGTGAAACAATGAACTTGGTAAAAGCACGGTGACATTCGTCTACCTTCACCTGGGACATTCTATTTCTGCCTGCCTCAGGGAAAACAAAAGGCAGTGAACGGGAGCTGCCAGCCTCTGAGCCAGCCAGGCTACCTGTCTCGTCACAGTCATCTAAATCTAATGGAGAAGGCATCCGTTTGATTGGAAAAGCATTACTGTACAATTTCGTGAAATAAACTCATCCTCCCCTGATTTAAATAAACAAGGGTCTTTCTCTTGCTTCCTGAACTGCAGAACAACTTCGTAGCATATTTAATAACCCCAAAGTGAGGTACAAAATTGGTTTATTTCCAGAATGACATATGATTTACAAGGAATCACATTAAGCACAACCAGTGATATAAAACTAGCTACTTACCACCAGAGTTGCCTTCCATGCTGGTCATAACTTTAGCCTCTGTCCGGAAGCATCATAAACATGGCATTTGTTAAAATGTATGCCATGTCTTGTGCGCAGGTGTTTCTGCATGTTGGGTGTATTTCCTCCCAGGGATGCAATTGCCACTTTGTAATGATTTCAAAGTGCCTTGTTGCCATCTTTCTCTTCCTTAAAATGAAGTCAAACTTTCGATTGCTTATTGAATGCCTGTGTGTAACTTGCTTAAAGAATGTGACGTAAATCGTGCTACCCAGAGCGGCTCTGGTGCTGCCTGGAACCATTAAGAGAATCATTAAGTGAGCTGCCAAATGGTGCCATGGAATTGGAACACACGGAACCGGTTCTGAACAGGAACCAGTTTTCGATTCCCATCCCTACATGGAAAGCTCTCTTTTCTTGTGGACCTGCATCATATTGTCTTTAAACTTGACTCTGGAGGGAGGAACTTCTTGTCTGTCCAACTCTAAGCTTCTCCCTAGTTCTGCCTGAATCTATAGAACCCTGTTATCTCCATCTGTTCCTTACTGGGGCGGATGCATGCTATCTGAGCATTGTTCCTGTTCCTGCATGGAAAGAGTTTTAGTTCAGTGGTACATGGTGACTTCATTCCTAATGCTCTTGTGAAGATTGTAGAAGAAACTTGATTTTAAGGTATGCTTTTCCCCCAAACCAGGAGCATTTCTGGCAAAGAGAAGAATAGTGCTGAAGGCTCTCTATGAACACACAAACACAGCTTGAAGAGGTTCTCCAGATCAGCCTCAATTTCTCCGGAGCGTAGGGATTGGGTAAACCTAAAAGACAATGCTCTACCTCTCTGGTGTAATCATCAATGGTGGATTCAGGATTACTGTGATCAAAACGCTCCATGGCTTGTGCAAGGGATTTAAGTTGTCAGGTTCATAAGCCCTGTTTTGGGATTAGCACTGGTCCATTTGAATCATCACCTGACAACTCTAAACAACTCCTATCAAGGTAGGAGGGAAATTCCCATAGATGGCTGTCCTGCTACCTCTGTGGAAAAGGGGTTTCATATCAGATAGTGTTCTTAGTTAGGTTGACAACCTGCACTGCTCTGTAAAACAAACTATACCTGCCAGTTATGTGAATCATCCTCTGTGGTCTGAGGCTGTTCTGCTTATTGGAACTGCGCACTGCACTACTAAACCTTTCCTGCTCCATCATGCTAGCTCTCAGCTCTGTGGTTGCCTGAGGAGGAACTCCTTTGTCCACCTACTTCTCTAACATAGGGACGGTTTCACTCTCTTCCTCTTCATCTGACCCTCCAGCCTGTGGCCAGGGGGCTTCTGTCCTTTGCCGTCTGTCCAGAATGGTAAATGTTGCCTTTCTACTCCCTTCCACCCTTCTAATTCTCCCTTCAGGCTTCAGACAGTTCTATTTCTAACTTAGACTTTCTCTGATGGAGCAAGGCAAGCTGACCAAACATATCAGCAACCAGCAGATCTTTTCTTGGATTACTAGTTGACTCAATCGGTTTCTTAATCTCACTTTCACAAGCCTCTATACTGAGACTTTTCAACACTCTATTCTCTTCTTTGGAAAAAGAGATCACTGAGCTAATTGAAGCTTGGGACTCCATCTCTAGGGAAGTCACAGATACACCCACTACTATCTTATCCCGTTCTCTATCCATTTTGTTCAATTAGGGGAGGATGAAGCAGGAAACGTAGCACACAGGCTACAAATCCCTAATCCTGTTAGCACTACACGCACAAAAGCTGAAAAACTCTGTTTGCTGTATGTCTGTCTACCTATACGACAGGTGTACAATACATGCAGACAATTACGTTGTGCAGGTTATCTTTTAACAAGCAACTTACTCTTAATCAGGTTCAGATAAATTACATTGCTGTGTTTAACTTCTAAAAACTTCTGATGGATGATTGGATCACTGACTTCTTGGCAAGTGGAATTTGTTGAATGTGATAATGCATGTGTATTAAACAACTGTGAAACAACAACTAACACACAAAAGAACAAATGCATTTCTTGGATATCCCCTCAGAAGTGATATACCTGTAATATTAACTCAGGTTTCAAACCTATAGTTTAAAATTACCACTCTACAATTAACCCTTAAGCACAATTTCTCCACAACAAAGACAGTAGATTCCTCAAACAAGGTGTAACTGTAATTGAAAGAGCGACCCGCAAGGGGAAAAAGCGTGCCTTTACCTGGGAAATTCAAAGTGTGCTGACACGTTCACACCACCATGGGCCACGCAAAAGGGCACTACACAGATTGGTCACTAGGGGAAATCAATCCTCCACCTGAGAACAGCTGGTATAGTTGTAATAACACTCCTCAGTCCCAGGGAAGTGCCCTCTGACTGTCCTAGCTTCTCTTCATTGGCTTGCTTATAAATAAAGAATAGAATTTAAAATTCTCCTCACATACTGTATAGAGCCTTAAAGACCCAAGCTCCATCTTATATTAGAGATCTGATTGTTCCTTATGTCCCTAGCAAAGCACTTTGCTCTCAATCTGCAGGTTTACTAGTGATTCCTAGAATTTCTAAAAGTAGAATGTGAGGCAGATCTTTTAGTTATCAGGCTCCTCTCCTGTGGAACCAACTACCAGTTTTAGTCTGTGAGGCCCCTATATAGTTAGGGACAAATTTCCCATTGGGATCAGCTTCATAGTCATGGTAGGCCACTTCTTTGATTTTACTTTGGAAAATCTTTGGGCCATGAATCTATTAAGATTTGGAACGAAACCTCAAAAAACATTGCAAATGAATATCTGAATCCTTTCAAGTCAAGTATTTTTTTAATTCAAATTCAATCAATCAGATTGAAACAACTAAAATAATTTTCAAAATCTGAAAAAACTGCTTACAAATTCAAATACATTAGAATTAGCCTGAAAATTAAATAAGCCTATGTAAAATCTAATCATTTTACTCACCTTTCAAACATTAATTTAGAGTATTTATAATGTAAAACAAACAAATATGTTGCCTGGAAGTTGGTAAGTTAGTATATGTTCCCAGAAGTGTATTACTCTTCCTGTTCCTGCCATTCAGCCTCATCTTCAGGCCACGTCTGACCATCACTGCAGGTTCTACCAGTGGCAGATCTTCTCTTCACAGTCAGCCAAGGCTTATCCTCTCTCCCAACTGAAGTCTAGGCTGATGCTGTTGGCTACTCCAGTTAGTCTGCCTCTGCATTAACTGCTCAGTCCTGTTCTTTTCCAGGGCCTGCCTAAATTCCCCTTGTCCGCAACAGCCTCACCCTTTTCAAATAAGAAACCTTAAAACATCATACACTGTTGGCTTGATTCATCGGGTTCTCAATGCTAAAACATGACGCCAGCCCTACCACGATCCTGAAGGTTTATACCACTTAACATCGCGGGTGACCCTTAAGCAGAAGAAGAAGGAAGGATGGATATTAAAAGTGTATTTTGAGAAATTTAAGAAACTTCTAACAAAGTAAAAAGAAACCAAAAAAAAACCAACTATAGAAATAATAAAACTCTTATAAAGAAGTGAGGTAAAACATAATTGGTTTTAACATTCAAATGCAGTTTTGTTTGGTAACACTTTGGTTTAAAAGCATTTGAATTCCTGTTTGTTAATAATATATTGGTTGTATTGTCATGATATCCTCTTCTATTGCAGCCTTACCTAATTTTACTGATACCCTATCCTTCTGTCTTTTCTTTTAACTTAATTTTCCTCATAGGGGTTAGATGTATTCCCAGGCATTCATTGGGAAATATTAAACTCCAATTCTAAAAGAGAATAAACCATAGCTGATATTGTGCAGTTGAAGCTAATATGTGCAACAGAAAAGTAATAATCTTAAACAACTTCAGACCACCCGCTGTTTGGTGTCTATATATAAATCCCAATCAATTAAATGACTATAGATAATTATACCAAATATGACGGAGAAGATATGAACTTAAATGTAAAAAGCATTCCTAGTTAACAAATACAGTGGTTATTTTAACCTGAGAAGACATTATCGTTATATACAATTCTCCAACTGTTTCTTTTTTTTAATTACATTTGTTATTTAGAACACAGCACACATCTGTAAAGGAGTTATTGTAATAAACCAGTCAATGCACTCTCAATGCAAATTCTTAACCCAACATCCTCTCACAGAAAAGGAACAACAAATACAGCTGCTGGCTTCTACATAATACCAGCTTTAAAGCAGAGTGCTGCTCTTTAGATCTTCAGATCACCAACTGATACATTCCTTGATATATAGAGCTTCATTAGGTAAGATGTTTTTAATTATCCATTTTGTGTGACCTCTACGGTAAAAACTATGTTATATATAAGTTTGCATTATTAGTGTCAATTATTGTACTGGCAATTTTACTTTTAAATTAATTTTAACTACCTCTTGGAATGTGCGAAAATACTAAAAATATTAGAATATATAACTCGACGTAACGGCCGAAGCTAACTAACGCGTTATCCAAAGCTGACTGATAAAAAAAAAAGGAAATTTTTTTCCTGAAATCTTTTCCAGTCTAAGAAATGAAGGATTGTCTGAATCTGATGGCAGCTCTGTCTGAGAACATGCTGACACTCAACATGATACTGAGTGTCTTCTTTATTCCAGGTGAGCTGTTTGTCTTTTCTGGTCTGAAATTTTAGATCATGATATAATTTAAAGGCCCCACATGTAAAGTGCTGTAGCTGACCTGTTCATTGAACATGAAGTTTGTCTGCAGGCAAAAAAAGAAATATAAAACAGTTGTCTCTTTTACAGGTACTTTGGCTGGTTGTGGTATAACACCGCACCTCAGAATCACTACACCAAGGGAGCTTGAAGCTCTAAGCGGATCTTGTTTGGAAATCCCGTGTATCTATGACACAGAGGATAACAGATATAACAGCAGCCAACCCATCTATGGAGTTTGGATGAAAGGTGGTTACATGCCTTATCCAGATATAATAATTTTCAATGGCAGTGGGTCAGTTAACAACTATTCACTGAATATTTCTGGAAACCTGAGAGAGAAATACTGCACCACTCTGTTTCCTGATTTAAAGACCAGTTATGCAGACAGATACTTCTTCAGGATTGAGAATGAGCCGTTTAAAGCAACAGCTTGTGATGATCCACTGCAAATAACAGTTAAAGGTAAGAATATTTGTTCTTAACATAGTGTTATAATGGTCATTTCAATGAGGAATATTTAAAATGTACATGTCTTTTACAGCTTTAAAAGGTGTCAGAAAAAAAGTTAAGGGATCTGGAGAATATAATGTCATTTTTTTTTTTATATATTTTTCCCCAGCAAATTAGCAATATTACTGTATTTAAACAGCTGGGCATATTTTCATCTTCTAAACAAAAAAGATTCTAAATCTGAAAACTAAGATACAAGAAAACTAAATAGGGGTCTGTTTCACAAAGAAGGTTTATTCTCAACTCTGAATTTATCTAGCCTGAGGTTGGATACCCTGAGCTTATAGTTTCACAGTGGCTGCTGTGAGTTAGTTTAATCAACTCTGATAAGCTCCACTCAAAGTTGAACATGTTCGAATTATTATAAAAGCCATTATCATTGCAGCCCTGATTCAACGAGTCACCATGACAACAGGCAGATCAAATTTCACACCACCAAAACTGGGGATTGTAATGCAGAAATTATATAATAAATCTAGAATGTAAAAAAAAAGAGCAACTGCAAAGGAGAGGGATATGGCGTAGCAGAAGATCCTTGCTACACTTACCTATTTTTTTGTACTCAGCGCTTATTGGTTAAATGTTTTTTTTAATCTGCTGTGTGTTAAGAATTGTACAAGAGGACCCAAAGACAGTCAGACAACTGATATTATTATTAAACAGTTTGTATTAAAGGTGGACTGCGTTAGTTTAAGGAAGAATCACCAGCATCGGAGACAGGCCCATCTGGGAGTGGAAATGAAAGGTTAGTGACCAGGCAGGGACTATGGTAAATTTCAGCTGAGACAACCAAGGTCACTACCCTTCTCACAATCTGGGAGTCGACTTGTAAGGTAGGTCGAAGATCCTGTTGAGGGGTTGTGTCTGGTGATTATCTCCTTGATCTAAAGTCTGATAGATCAGCAGAGATCAAGGGACATGCACAGGGTCAGAGCTGAGTGATCAGGGTATCCAGGTAAATCAAAGGCACTTGAAAAGGTCAAAGATGAGGTCAGAGGTCAAGGTAATCCAAAACAATCATGTCTGATAAGGATTATGACACTGAGTCTGCTGTGTCATTTGTAGGTTGAGTGAAAATAGTAAACATTAT